CCGCAAAAGGCAAGCCCGCCAGCCCCTCCCAACTGCAGAGAACTCAGGCTCAAAGTCTCAAGGTGGCCCAGGGGGTCCAAGATTTGGGGACCCAAGACGAGCACTGCAGAAGTCAGAACAGGGCTCACCCTGGAAACCAGCTAGCCCACACTGTCCTGGGAGGAGGGGGCAACCGAGGCCTGGAGAGGAGAAGGACTAGCCCAAAGTCACGGGCAAGGTAGGCAGTGGGTAGGGCTAGACCTTGCTTTGTATTTTAACTACCCGCTGCATGGTTTCCACATGTTGTGTCCTGGTAGGAAAGCGTGGAACCATTAAAGTTCCAGAGGGGGCTCTTCTCTGTCTCTTGTGCTATCTTGCTGAAACGTTCATTCATTCATTCACAGCGGACGGCAGAAGGAGGGGAGACAGGGATGGACATCACAGTTTCTGACCATTCATCCATTCATTCATTCTCTCTCTAAGTACTTGTTGAGCACCTAATAACATGTGCTGTCCCCTCAGGTGTAAATATAGAACTTCTGACTATAAACCAAGGGGACGCTTTATTCAGCTGTGCTGCTTAGCCTGTGTTGGGGTGCCATCTTCACAATGGTCCCTTGGGAAGCTGGTCATGCCTCTGGGAACTCCCATTTTAGAATCATCTTCAGATCCAAGTTCTAAGCCAGGGAGAAAATCAGTTTCAGCACTTTTCAATGATCTCTTTCTATATATTTTTTATATTTTACTTTATTTAGCAAAATATGATGACCTCCCTCCACTCCAACACACACACACACACACACACACACACACACACACTCAGATAATATCATCTGATTATTAAAAGCAAAAATTACATCATCTCTCAGAATCTTGAAAAACATAGACTCTGGCTTCAGGCACACTCGAGTTTGAATCCTAAGTCCACTTGACCTGGCTGCGTAATCACGACCAAATGACTTAACCTTTTTAAGCCTTGATTTATTGTCTGTAAAAAGAGATATGATGACACACCTTGTCACATCTCTGTGAGGATTACAGATGATGTATTTACGAGGTCTAATACAGCGCCCTGTACAGAGACACAGCTCAATAAATGATGGGTTTGCGGTTTCCAATTCCCTAGAGAGGGGGCTGTGAATTTTACGAACATTTTGGACACCCTTGGCAGCCACGCCCAAGTGCTCAGGCTCCACACACACTGGATGGGTTAAAATACAGCCAATCACAGAACGGCAGGTCCTCATTTTCTTATTCTGCCTCGGAGAACTACATAACTTAGGTGTCCTCACTCAGTGCCTCCACTGCACTGGGGGGTGGGGGCGGCACTGTGGCCCCCTAGAGGGAGAAGGCAGTCTCCTAATCAGCCCAGTGTGTTCGTGGCAGCTAGTACCAACCCCCAGCGGCAGCCAGCAGAGCCAACTGAAATCTGCAGGTCCCAAGGTTGTCACAAGGTCTAGGCTCAAGGCGCAGGCATCCCCAGGCCCCCAAGAGCAGGGGCTGCCACTACCTCTTATTACTCCAGCTTCACTCTGTTCAGCAAAGCACGGGAGGGGGCTGCTGGAGGAAGGAGCCAACAGGGCAGAGATGATGCGTCCCATCCGGCCTTCCTCTTGCCTGGTCCTGAAGCAGGCTCGGACTCTTTTCCGAGCAAAGGACCTCCATGTAGGTAGTCATTTTACTTTCTCAACATCCTCCCACAGGTAGTGTCTTCTCACACCCCCACAAAACCAGCTCAATTGTGAAAGGCTGGTTAGCACTGCCCCATTCGATAGATAAGAACACCAGAGTTACATACAAGTCATTGGCTTTAGAGCCAGAGCTGGGACTGCAACCTAGAAGCAAGTCTCCTACCTGTGAGCCCACAATGCTGAGCTGTCTGTAACATATTAGGGAAATCTTTAGAGGACCCGCTTTTACCATTCCTGCTCCAGCCACATAGCCAAAGGAAATAATGTCTCCAGAAGTTTAAATTGTCCAAAAAGTAAAATTTTAAACCCTTAAGCCCTAAAGGAAAGAAGGGTCTGAAGGACAAACTACCTAGACGGAAGACATCTAGACAGGCAGCATGGGGCAGCAGGAAGTATGAATGCTTCCTGTACAGTCAAGCAGACTGGCTCTGTTCCGTATTAGCTATGTGACCTTGGGCAAGTCAGCCAACCTTTCTGAGTGCCCACCTTAGAAAGCCATAGGGTTGTGAGAACCCAACAAGATGGAAAAGCATGCAGAGCCTCCTGCAGGGTGCCTGGCACGAGCAATGGATTGTAACTGCCCCGTGGAACGTCAGGGCTGGAATGGTTTGGATGATGACCTAATCCTGGTGTCTCCTTTCACAGGTGGGAAAAACAAGGCCCAGAGAGGGCAAGTGACCTGTTCAAGGTCACATAGCAAACTCTTGGTGACTTGGTTGGGTCTAGTACTCTCAGTTCATATTGAAATCAGAGACGAGAGCCAAGAAACCTGATCTTTCAAGCTGTGCAAAGGTGGAAGAAACTTTTTCAGTGATTCCTCCAGCCAACGGAGCTTTCTTTCTCCATTTAGCAAGGAAAAATTTGGTATTTCTGACCAGAAGAAAATATGACACTTTGAGAAAAGCTAAAAGTAAAACTAAAATCCCAGGTCTTAACAAAAAGACGCTCTTTTAAGGTTTCCCTTTCCCACCTCTCCCTCTCATTGCTAGCCCCCAACTCAAATATTTTGCAATAATAGTAATGCTGAGAGGAAAGAAAAAATAAAAATCTGATGCACTTAACAGATATTTCAGTACAATAATGCATCACAGATGTTCATATCAAACTGTGCACGCATGCATACAATTTCTCTGAGAAGGCTGCTGCGTTTCTGACTTTGGGGTTGGGGATCCCTAACAACCCCGGCTGCCCAGGTTCTGGAATCCCTCCCTTCCTAGTTAGCCCACAGCTGCCCACAGGGATGGAGGAGAGATTTCATCACCTCGCTCCAAAATGATAACAGGACAAATTGGCGGGGTCAGGCGCTCTGGCAGGTGGTGAAGGGTCTGCCGATTAGCGAACCGAGAGGAGACCTGTTTTCTTTTGTTCAGGACTTGCTTCCACAGCCCTCTCGAGGAGCTGAACCCAAGAACAATTTTAAGAGCGGGCCCAGGCTGGTGATGGGGTAGGTACATTTTTGAAACCAGAGATTTGAGGCTGTTTGATCTTCAAACATGGGCTTTGGAGACTGTCAGCGGGCTCCTCGCAGGCCGATGAATGGCTCTCAGGAACTTTTCCTAAAACATAACCTCACACACTTTTCAGCAAATGTTTTCAACCTACCAAAGCAGTCCATTGGTTGAACAGCAGTGTTTCCAGACCTCGAAGAAAGATAGTTTTGTTGTTTTAAGAGAGACAGATTAAAGCCAGGGGCTGTTTAACCAGCGGGTCTGTGTGCTCCCTTCAGCTCTCCGCCAGTTCCTCTGTGGTTGGTACAAAGAGGGTGTTGAGAGTGACAGTGGATCCCCCCGCCTCCCCAGCCTAAAAGAGATATCGAGGCCAGACGGGAGGCCTCTGAACAGAGGGGCCTCCCACAAACCTGCCCCCAAAATGAGATGGGCGGTGAGCGCTGGGGAGCCCGACGCAGATAATATCAGCTCTCGAGGCTGGAAAGGGAAAAGCGACTTCAGAGGGAGAAAGCCGGTACTTTCAGAGGAATCAGTGCTGGGCCAGAGAATGCACAGGATTTTTCCCCATGGAGAAGGAGTCAGGCGTAGTCAGAACCCTGCAGGGCGTGACTAACTGCCCCAATATTCCTGCCACCAGGGCCCTCTGGGTAAGGAGTCCACAATTATGGGAGAGCCAGCAGGAGAACCGACAAACCCGCCTTTCATTTGGCCGGCAAATCAATCTGGCTTCTTACCTCCCTGGGGACAATATTGCATTTCCCCTGGAAAAACAAAAGCTGGAGATCTCCGAAGGGGGATCAGTTTCTACCCTGTTTCCCTGGTGAAGAGCTTGCAACATCTCAGGAGCAGCAAGCAGGTCTGGTTCTGGTGGCAGAGTTTCCAGTCCGGACAATTTACAGGGCTGTCTTCCTACTCAAGGAGCACGTCTTGGGGACCACGCCTCACTTGGGGCATGCACTCAGGCCCCCTCTTGGGACCTCCTTGTAGAAGCCACCATCCCCAACTTCAAGCCCCCATTCTGGGATTGACAGCCCGCTCTTACGGCGCAGATGTGAACTCATTGTTCCCAGAGCCTCAGAGTTGAGTTTGGGGCCAGTGGGTTGCGAATGACCTCTGCCCATGGAGACGAAGCTTTTAATGACATTTTGCTGGATCAGGTCTCTGGCAGCCAGAGACTTTAAACCTCCTAAGCTCCGCCTTTCTCCCTACCCCCACACCCGAGGTTGAGAAATCAGAACAGTCAACCTTCAAGTGAACATATTTCTCTGAAATTATTAACCCCAAAACTATCCTTGCTGATTTTCCCTCAGCCTAGGAAAGCAGTCTGAGGGTCGCCTGGAGCTCTGCAGAGGCCCAGGAAATTCAGCAGTGCTTAACCTCAAACAGCAAGCCAGGGCCACTAGAGACCAGGGGGACCGGGTCTTCCTGCCCCAGCCTCAGGAAGCATGTCTCCCTCTATGCATCCTCCATACAAACACATGGCTGCTGCCTGCATGTGCCCACACTACGGTCTCAGGACAGCCTCCTGGTCTCGAGTCCCCAGGCCCTCAGGGAAAGCCAGATGCAAATTGGCAACTCGCGCTTTTGGTTTTTCATCACTCTGAGGCTCCTGGAGAAATGCTTTCTGCCCAGGCAAGCACAGCAGATGGGGAGTGTCTACCCCCAACAGGTAGCACGGCTGAGATAGAAGCAAAAACCCCCAAACTCTTCCCTCCCAATTCTAGCACGTACCAGTTTGCCCTAGTCACCACACAGGCAGCCCCAAAGAGCCTCTCCCTTTAGGGGAAGGACAGGGCTCTGGCTGCCGGAGGAATACAATCAGAGCAGAGGCGGAAGGCGCGTGGCGGCTGCCAGGCTCTGGTGCGGGGCGCCGCGGGCCTACCTGGGAGAAGTTGAGCCCGTTTAGCGGATGGCACTGCTCCTCCACACGCTCCACGGCCCCGGTGCTCTTCTTCATTTTCTCGGCCTGCTGGGCCAGGTAGAGGTCGAGCACAGGTACGCCCCGGGAGCGCACGTCCGTCTCCGTGAGCGAGTTCACCATGAGCATCACCCACACCGGCCTCTTGCGCTCCCAGTTGCCGGCGATGGCGTTGAACAGGTAGTCGGCGTAAAGCCCCTTGCCGCGCTGCGCAGGCGTCATCCAGGACGGCATCATCAGCTTCACGTAGTCCAGATGGCGCTTCAGGCGCCAGTAGAGCTCGTGGGGCAGCACGTCCTGCAGGTTCTCGCCGTGCGGCAGCAGCTGGCAGCTGGCCAGTGCTGAGATGGTGTAGGGGTCAGTCAGGTCCAGCTCAAAATAGACGCGGGTGCTGGCCTGGAAGGCCGCCTTGGAGTTGTCTGGGATGAAGTCCCAGACGCGGGTGTAGGGGACGTGGATGGTGCCAAACAGGTAGGCCGGGGGGTCACGGCGAATAGTCCACAGGAAGGAGTTCAGGTCCCTCTGCTGCAGGGGGAGAGGTGAAGGAAGGCAGTGAGGCTAAAGGCAGCAGAGTAAACCCAGGTTAGAACAGAGGGGGCAGGTGGAGGTGGGGGTAGAAGGCATAGCCCTCCATAGGGCCATGGGAAAGAGCTAGGGCTTTGGAAGCAGAAAGACCCACTTTCAGATCCTGGCTTTGTCCTGTCTGAGCTGTATGATCTTAAGCACACCGTTTCACTTCCCACAGACTCAGTTTCCCTATCTATAAAATGGGAGCTGAGAGCTGCCACCTCAGGGATTGTTGAGAGAATGAAAAGACACATTCCATGTAAATAAGCCCTAGGGGCAGTGCCAGGTACAGAGGAAGGAGGCAACGAAAGAAGCTCTTTATGATTGGCTCTCGCTGTGAGCACCAAGGACTGCCACACCACCTAAGAATATTCACACTTGGCCAAGACAAACCTTCACTGGTGTTTCATGGGGAAAAAGGGAGAGGGGGACCAAGAGTCCTGCTCTGGCAAGAAAGGAGGAAGTCATATAACTTTTAAATCCAACCATTAGAAGATACATTGCCAAGAGCACTTTGAAAGCAGAACACCTATTAAAAATAGCACACCTATTTAAACAGCTACTTCCCATTCAGCAGGGCGGATACAGTTTTCTTTTTGGAGGGCAAGTCTGGGGTGTCAGCTACTCTGCTCCACCAGCTGAAACCACAGATGAGAAAGTGCTTTAAAACCCACAGGCTAAGTAAAGTCTCAAGGCCCCGGTTTGGAGGGAAAAATTCTACAGAATTAGTCCCATGAAATGTACATGCCTTCCAGGCTCCTCCCCTAAAAAGGTATACCTGGTCCCCAAGTCCAATTCTCTGTCATCACCTAAGCTCTGATGAGGGGTGGGTGTGTGTTGGGAGGGAGGGGTGAAGGAGGTACATGAAGACTTGTGTCATTTCTCCAGATCCAGTTAAGGCTAGGAGTTAAGGGGCACAAGAAAGGGACTATCATTTCTCTCAGGCAAAGTCATTTTCCATCCAGAAGACTCCCCTGGACTGCCCACTGCCGTCAACCACCTGTAAGCTTTAGGTCAACTAACACAATTTTTCTGTCTGATTCTAGCACAAGTGAAGAGTATCTGTCAGGTGAAGGGAACAGTACCTTACTTTACTAACAATCAAAAACTGTAAAGCCCAGCATACTGAAGAGAGATTAGTTCTCAGCACCCAACCAGCCACGGAGCTCCCAGTGTCCGCACAAGTCACGATGGTGGAGGTGCACCTTGCCCAAGGTCAACTAACTCCCAGCTAACTGGGCAGCCAGTGAGAACCCTACCACCTTTTCTTGGTCCCTGGCCTCCAATTCAGGGTTATTTTCAATGCATTAATGTACACTTTGAGGGAGAGATACCGAGGAAAATTGAGATTTCTTAGTTTGGAAGGAAAATTAGGAGAACCAGTAATTACTCAACCCCCAAGGAAATATTAGGCCAGCATGTCCTGGCACTTCCTTTTCCTCTCCTCTGGAATCTTCTCCCTTTTCGTGAGACGGGGGCACTTGGGGCAATGGGTGCTGAGGCCTGGGCTGGAGAGGGAAAGAGAAGTGGGGACTAGCCCCAGGGAGAAAGCCTGCCTCAGGTCAGACTGCGGGGGTGGCCAGAGGAAAGCCTGCTAGGGGATCCGAGCGTGTGAATGAGAGAGGAAGGAGCAGAGAAGAGAAGGGCCAAGAGTGGTAGAAACAAGAGTCAGAAGTGGGCAGAGAAGAACCGGAAGGTAAGGACAGGATAAAAGTAAGAAAGAGGAGGCAAAGAGGGGAAAGGTCCAAGCAGCACCACAAGTCTAGGAGAGCCCGAGAACGTCAGCGTGTGGAGAAGGAGCTGGAGAGGGAGCGCCCCATCTCGGCTCCCGACACGGAGCCGGAGCCCGGGCGGCAGAAGCCAGGGAAGGACTTCCGAGGCAGCGCCCGGCGGGCGGAGGTGGAGCGGGTGGGCCAAGGTGGGTGCGGAAGACGGGACCCCCAAACCAGCGTCCCCACGGGTCTGGAGTGGCCGGGCGGCCAG